AGTCATACTTTTTGAATCATATCTTTGCTCCCTAATCTTCTCCATTGCTGTTAATAATTCCACTATCGCTATCACTCTTGGATTTGAATTGACAGTTACGTCTCTGTGCTGACGTAGTATGTCAACGTGAAGTGATGTACTTATGTACAAAGCTCTGTGTTGTATCTGTCTGTCTGAATTTTAAAAATGGGATAAATTATGAATTGGTGGTATATAATTTTTTAAAACAAAGTGGTAAATTTGACATTTTCTTTAAGTACACTTGAGTTGATTTAGCTGCTCAACTCAAGTGTACTTAAAGAAAATGTCAAATTTACCACTTTGTTTTAAAAAATTATATACCACCAATTCAGTTGATTTAGCTGCTCCCGACCGTAGCTGCTACCTTGACGTGGTGGTCGGGCTTGCCTATCGTGATGACCCAACCGAGCTATACTGGCTGGAACATATGTTCCTGCAGGTCCTACCATGCCAGACAGGTCGATTGGAGAACGATGAAACTAAAAGCAGCTACCCAAGGTCTGAGGGCGAAGTCGTACTGCTGACTGCAGAGGGGTGTGACAGCAGTAAGGTGTTTCTCTCGGACAACCAGCATCTGCAGCGATGCTGCCTTCTCACAAGGAAGGAAGGGTTAGAAAAGGTCGGCCCTAAAAATGTCACACCTCCCCTAACTCACGGATTTCCGTCTCCTTGGGTAAGGGTGCCCACTAAGGGCCTTTAAGAACGGAGCTAATCCTCAAAAAACATTTCATAAAGAGGCCGTGCGTGACCGGCCTCAAGCAGTTGTCCCTTGGACTCTGCGGTCACGCACCAACACTAATCTATCTTCCTTTTCAGGTTCCTCAAGAAACAACCTTCCACGGTGTGGGCAGCCGTGAAGTGACAACCGCCCTCATACCCATAACAGCACGCGAGACCAAATTGGTCAAAATCAAATCCTTCCTACACCTCCTAGTACCTCTCTTATCTCCACGACTAACTCTTCTCACATTCATTCATCACAGTGCACAGCTAATGCAGACGATACGAGTTCGCGAAACGTCGTTCCTGGTCTCCTTAAACCTCGCTCTAGACTACATGTTGGAGCATTTAATGTACGGACATTGTGTCAATAGGGCAACAGGCTTCCTTAGCTAGGACTTTAAAATCTCGTGCCATCGATGTATGCTGCGTCTCGGAAACGCGCATACAGGATCCTAGTAAAGTCATTAACCTGATTTCACCTTGTCAAAACGAAGAAGCAGCTGGATTTACTCTTCGTGTATCCGGTAGCCCTGATGCTGCTTCCCGGGGTCTTGGTGGTGTAGGCATAGCATTGAGTCGTAGGGCAGAACAATCTCTCCTTGACTGGATCCCAATAGATAGTCGATTGTGCGCTGTCCGACTAAACGGGACAGTAAGGACTCGGAAAGATAGGGACAATCGCCGTTGCCTCTTCATCGTATCTGCCTATGCCCCCACTGAATGCAGTTCAGACGAGGTTAAAGATGAGTTTTACAGAAAGCTTTCGGATCTCCTCCAAAAAGCTAGGCGCTCTGATATAGTAATAATGGCTGGTGACTTTAATGCTCAAGTAGGTAGACTAAGTGAGCAGGAGAGACACCTAGGTGGATGTTATGGTGTCGCGGCTCAGAGAACAGACAATGACAACCGTCTGTTGCAAACATGCTCAGACAACCGCCTATTCTTAGCAAACACTAACTTTAGGCATAAGGAAAAGCACCTGATGACCTGGCGACCTCCAAAGTCGTCTCAACGTTGGACTCAACTAGATCACATCGCCATCAGCCACCGATGGAGGGGTTCGATAGAAGACTGTCGCTCGTTCTGGGGCACATGTTTGGATTCAGATCATGCCCTAGTGCGAGCGCGTATTTGTTTGAAGCTTACTGGGCGTAGGAAAGACACCGTAAGAAAGCCTCTTAGGGTTTTACTTAATGATAATAAGGTGAAATATATATTTCAGGAACAACTAGAAAGACAGTTAGGCGACCATTTAAGCGATTCCCATCCGGAAGCAGGATGGAATGATATCAAAAAGGCTGTGGAAACAGCAGTGATATCTGCTAGTAAGGTTGACCATAAGGCTAGAATGAAACCGTGGATCTCAGTAGCATCCACCGATCTGATGGATGCCCGAAAACTCATCCCACCTGGCTCTGAGCATGATGAAGAACGAAGTCAACTTAGGCGCAGACTTATGAAAAGCCTACGTAACGATCGCGAGCAGTGGTGGGTGGCGAAAGCAAAAGCGATGGAAAAGGCAGCGGCGATCGGCAACAGTAGACAACTTTTCCGACTTATCAAGGAAACTGGTATTAAGAACCCGAATGTGAGTGAGACTATCTCGGAAAAGGATGGTCTTATTATCCATTCTCAATCCAGGAGACTGGATCGATGGGCAGAACACTTTAGGGATCAGTTCAACTGGCCACGAACCACTCTTCGGTTACCCACGATCTCCAGTCATCCTGAATGGCAAATCGACCTAAGTCCCCCTAGTCTTAATGACGTTGAGAAAGCGTTAGGAAATCTGAAACGAGGACGAGCTGCAGGTCCTGATAGACTGACCCCTGAGATATTTAAGGATGGTGGTCCAGTTTTAGCAGCTAGGTTGACTGAGATCTTAGGTAGAATCTGGGAACTGGACGTAATCCCACCCGACTGGTCTCAATCCTTGATTGTCCCAATCTATAAGAAAGGACAAAAGTCTTCTTGTGACAATCACAGGGGAATAAGCCTAACTAATATAGTATCTAAAATATTGGCCTCAATAATACTTCGACGCTTAACGAAAGCTCGTGAAGAGCAAACTCGAGAAAACCAATCTGGTTTTCGACCTGGACGTGGCTGTATAGACCACATTTTCACACTACGACAGGTCCTGGAATACAGACACACATTTAGGCGTCCTACAATAGTTGTTTTCCTGGACCTTAAGGCGGCATTTGACTCAGTGGATCGTGAGGTTCTGTGGCAGTGTCTGTCATTGAAAGGTGTACCAAAGAAGTACATTAAACTTATACAAGCCCTTTACTCGAACACCACTGGTCGAGTAAGGGCTTATGGCGAACTGTCACCGGAATTCTCTACATCAAGTGGTGTCCATCAGGGATGTCCACTTTCTCCATTCTTGTTTAATTTTATCATAGACATGCTCCTAGAAATTACCTTATCCTCGTCTGAATTTTCAGGAGTAGACCTTTTACCAGGAAGCTCGCTTATTGACTTAGAATATGCCGATGACATTGTCCTACTTGGTGAAGACGCTGACAAAATGCAGAGTCTTCTGACTACCCTAAGCAACAATGCAAGCATGTTCGGGATGCGGTTTTCCCCCTCGAAATGCAAAATGTTGCTTCAAGATTGTGTGTCATCGGCACCTGAACTAGTGATAGGGAGTGAAGTAGTCGAACGTGTAGACCGCTTCACTTATCTTGGGAGTCTCATCAGTGCTGATGGCCTGGTGACTGACGAAATCTCAGCACGGATACAGAAGGCTCGATTGGCTTTTGCCAACCTGCGTCACTTATGGCGTAGGCGAGATATCCGTTTGCTGACTAAAGGACGAGTGTACTGCGCAGTGGTTCGCTCCGTCTTACTTTATGGCTGTGAAACATGGCCAATGAGAGTAGAAGATATTCTTAGGTTACTGGTTTTCGATCATAGGTGTCTTCGAAGCATTGCTCGTATATCGTGGGACACCCGAGTTAGCAACGCTGTTATTAGGAAACGGGTACTAGGTAAGAATGGCAGATCAATAGATGAAGTAATGAAACTTCATCAGTTGAGGTGGTTGGGACATGTGTAACGAATGTCCAACCACCGACTGCCTCGTCGAGCTTTGTTTTGTAGTGTAGGAATAGGTTGGAAGAAAGCTAGGGGCGGCCAAACCAAAACATGGCGTAAATCCATGAAGTCATTGACAAGTGGACTTAGCCATGTCGGTAATTGTCGACTACCTGGTTGGGGTCCGCGAGATGATAATAATCGATGGCTAGAGACCTTGAATGACATGGCTCAAAATCGTTCGCAATGGCGCCAGTGCATTTATTCTTTGTGTTCTCTCAAATCCTAATCTTCTGAGTTCTTCAACACCTCTAGCTTTTACTTTCTAAACTTATCTCATTGAATCATACTTCGTGAATAATATATTCTTATTCTAACGTCTACGATTACTTCTAATACCTCTACTACCTCTTCTACTATTGGATTTGAATTGACAATGACATCTCTGTGCTGATGTGGTATGGCGACATGAACTGATGTACTTACGTACGAAGTTCTACGTTGCAACTGACTGACTGACTGACTGACTGATTTAGCTGCTAGGATAGCTAACCTTAAGATGAACATTTAGTCTGAAATCCAATATACCATTAGTAACTAGACAGAAGCATAAACAGGAGGCTCTATTAAAATTACATACAATCCTCAATAGAGAGGAATTCAGTAAAAAAACTTTTATTAAGCTTACTGAGAAATTTGAAAATTAGGATATTTATATAATAATTTCAAAAACTTTATACAATTGAAATGAATATCACTTCAAGATTGATGAAGCTTAAGCATATGATTACGACTGAAAAACGTTATAATAACTTATATAATATAAACTTGAATGTTTCAAAATAATAATTGTAAAGTTATTTTGCTTGTCTTACTGTATTATATTCTGCTGATAGGGTTCAACTAATTGTCTTCAAACAACTAGATGTTCAAAATATTTAAATGATAGACATTTATAAATTTTGAACATTGCTGAAACAAAAGAAATTAGCTGCCGTATAATGCAATTGACGACTGTCTGTTTATCGTGTCGACAGTCATAATTTAACATTATATCATGAATATCATGTTTTACAATTGGGATAAACATTTAAATGGAGCACTTTAAGCAAAAATAGGATTCAGTTAATAAATATCCAAACGAAGAAACTATAAGATGAAAAATTAATCTTCAACTAATTAAATCCAATACAATACAAAAGAATGCTTACATAAGCAAGACTATATACGAATTTTCCTTCTAATTGAATTGAACCCTCTTTCTGAGCAGTTTCAACATTAATCATGTTTACACAGCCTGTATGACTTCCAGTAGCTAGGAAACGTGAATCAGGAGAGAATGCAACAGTCCATGTGTCGGCTGGATCACCATCATATGTTTTCGTTAACTTTCCTGTTTCCAGATCCCATAATAAAATCTATTAAAATATGTATAGAACACAATAATTAAAATTCTGTATACTCCATGCTGTGAGACTTGAAACAGTTAAACGTTAGATGAGGTGTCGAGTCACTAAACAACATTCATTTGTATTGTGTGTTTGAATCTTCCCACTGATGTTTAGGACTGCAATTGATCAGTCTTTGTGGCATATGCGCATTCTGTGCTGATTGCCTCTACATAGAGCATACGCTTTAAGCATTATTAGCAGAGGTGGATAATGGCTAGCGTAAGGTACTGGGTTCGAGTCCCGGAGTGAACATTAACTTTAACCTTAAGTTACTGTTTTTAGTCTTACCGTTTTCCAATCAACCTGCCTGGTATGATAGAACCCAGAGGAATATAAGTTCCATCCAATATAGCTCGGTCGGGTTATCACGATAGGCAAGCCCCACCACCACGTCAAGGGAGCAGCTACGGTTGGGTTGACTGGGATACAGGTACATACATCTTACGAGTCTCAGAATGGGACGAAACTCACATTCTGGGTACCACTGCTAGCCACTACCCGGCTCTGCTAATAATATTTGAAGCTTCAGAAACACATGGAAGTAATAACTACTCTGTGAAAATACAAAATTTACCATATGACCACGAAACGCCAATAAAAAACAGGACACAGTAAGAGAAGAATAATCTGTGCCAATTTGGAGATTAACAAAAACAACAAGACTAGTAGAAATTTTAATGAAGAAATA